TATCAGCCCTGGTCCCTTGGCCATCCCCACCGCTGCCACCCAAAACCCCCCAGGGAAATGGGTTGCCATGATTGGCTTAGACTAGCTCTCATTCTCTAGCACCTAGGAAATTTCCTGCTCCAGATAAATTTGAGATTCCATTAAATTAAAGAAAAAGGAAAATGGATGTTGAATAAGTGAACAACATAATCTGATGCAGACCCTCAATGGACAGGTCTCCCCAAAAGCTGCAAATAAAATCAAGTAATAATGGTCTTTCATTTTCTATGAAGATAATAATGATTATTTTTATTAAAATTATTAACTCAACTTTAAAAACTATAGAAAATGGCCTTAATAATTAAATGATTAAATAATTAAATAATTACATGAGAATTGGGTAATGCATTTCAGAAACCTTTGTGGTTTGAATATCCTTTGATTCATGGGTTTCATTTATGAGAATCTAATCTAAGGAAATGATTGTAACTGAGAACAGAGGTTTTGCCACAAGGATTTTCCTTGCAGCATCATTTACAACAACAGCACAAAAAAAGAAGAGAAAAAACAATAAAGAAACAACCCTACTGTCCAGCAGCGGGAAACTGGTTAAATAAAACTCTAGTATATATTCAGGGTAAGACAGTGTAGCCATTAAAAAAGGCAATGTAGTAGAAGACCACATAATTTGATAAAAGTATTAATTTCAAAGGAGGTTGTAAAATGAGATATTCTATATTTTTCCTTTTTTTTTTTTTTTTTAAAGAAATACAGTAGAACCTTTGTGAGTTGACCACCCAGGGACTGTAACAAACTGGTCAACACAGAGGTGGTCACCATCAGGAACTAGGCCAGTGTACTGCTGCACACCTGTGGTGCACAGCTGGCCCGTGGAAGTTAGGTCAGCTTGAGGAGGAGCCAGTGCAGGAAGGAGGTCAGCTGTGGAGGGCCCACTGCACATCCGCCAGCCGCTGGTGGTGTTGCACAAACACCGGAAGTTTGTGCGCTGGGTGATGGGACCATGAGTTGTAAAGTCTTTTTTTCCTAAACTGTATTTTCCAAATTTATAAGCAGATGTGTTATTTTTTATAAAAAGGGAGAAATACTAGAAAACTTAAGACTTGGACTCATTTGGCAGCTTGTGACTCACACTTGGAGGCCAAGACAGGTGCCCTCTGCATCTCACCCCTCCGGGCAGTCTCATACTTGTAGATAATGCTGGAATGAACACAGTTATATTGAGCCCCCACTCCCACCCCACCCCCCACATTCTTAGTCATTTTCACAGAATAGTTTTTTTTTTTGTTTTTTTTTTTTGAGACAGAGCCTCAAGCTGTCCCCCTGGGTAGAGTGCCGTGGCATTACAGCTCACAGCAACCTCCAACTCCTG